ATGACAAGGGGCTTTGTTTTGTGCGTGGAGGGTCTTTGGGGTTTAGAGATGAGGGTTTAGGGCCAGGGTGTGGGGTTTAGGGTTTAGGGGTTAGGGGTTTAGGGTTTAGGGTTCAAGGTTTAAGGTTTGGGGTTTAGGAGTTAGGGTTTAGGGTTTAGGAGCCCGAATCCCTCATCCGACTCGTCTGCCTTGTGCTTAGCCTCTTCGGTCTCTTGGATCAGCTTCTCTTGCTCTTCTCGGGCCTCGCGTCCAAGATCAACTTTGCAAAGACCTCAATAAGCATAGGGACTGTGGCTGTGCTAATTATAGTATCATAAAACCCAAAGTTGTTAAAGCCCCGAGCATCCAGAGAATTCACACAGATTGGCCAACAAACCTGAGTCGAAGCTTCTCATCTTGGAGCACGAGGCGTCAGTTCTCCATGTGACCAGCAGATCAACCAAACCCTAAAACCTAAACCCTCCCCTCTAAACCCCCATCAACTACCAATGCCACAGTTTAGGGCTGAGGGCTCAACATGACTACGCACAACTTACATCCGCCATTAGCTGCTCTTAGTTTAGGTACCATCATCGTCAAGACGTGGTGCCGGCACAAGGTGTAGGTATGAGATAGCTATACCAAAGAACCCTTATGGTAATTGTACAGGCTTCTACACTACCACCATGGCCCCGGATCCTTCACCGTTCAGAAAGAAAGACGGAAGGCGACTGCAACAGCGATCATCTCCTGCCAGCACCGTTCACTCTAAACCCGGGCTACACCCTCTAAACTTTTAAAATATGAAGCAAAACTTAAACCCTCTTCTGACAAAAAAGTAGTTGTGCAACTATGCCACCAGCAAGTACAACAAACAAGAAGCAAATAAAGCTAACAAATAAACATATACTGCATTCTGTTAGCTGTAAATTACGACTTACCCAACAACTACACACCCATGCGGCGTACCGTACAGGCCATAGTAGTTCGAACAGGGCTAGGAGTTTATTCCAGTGTACTTGCACTCATGCAGCTTCTAAAGCCATGGCGCCATAACAACCCAAGCCCTAAACCCTAAACCCTAGACCCTAAGCCCTAAACCCTAACCCTGAACCCTAAACCTTAAACCCTAAACCCCAAGCCCTACACCACTCATCCGACGCGGCTGCCTTCTGCTTCGCCTCTTCGGTCTCCTGGAGCAGCTTCTCTTGCTCTTCGCGGGCCTCGCGTCCCAGATCAAGCATGAAGAAGCCCCGAGTCGGGGCTCTTGTTAAAAGTTATATTTAAGTTACAGGGATCCATAGTAAATAGTATTTAAGTTACAGGGATCTATAGTAAATCGTATTTAAGGTACAGGGATCTGTAGTAAATAGTATTTAAGTTACAGGGATCTATAGTAAATAGCATGGTTTCCTTATTCTGGTAGCTTAAATAGAGCCCCCAGTAACAAGAGGCCAGTAGTCCTAAACCCTGAACCTCTAAACCCTGCAGTGGCCCCACAGTAGTCAGAGTGGTTTAGGGCCTTAGGGCTTACAGCCGGGGGGGCTTGATGAAAAGTCTGAGTCGCGAGATCCTGGAACCATGAACCAACTCTGTCAAGCTACGCCCATACATGAAGTAGGATATGGGGGGGGCTTCCGAAAATAGGGGACCCTAATATAGTACCCTACATATTATCAGGACCCCCCAAAAGAGGGTACCCCTAATTTTCGGGACCTCCCATATGCAGGATGGTATCCACAGACATGAAACACCTCCAATATGGAGCCAGCCCCTGTGCACATTCAGCAAGGCCCGAAGGTACAGCATGGGATGGGATCTATCACGATAAAGGATTTTCGTAAAGAGTTACAGGGGGGCTACAATGCAACTACACATCAGGTATTTATTCCTAAACCCGCACAAAAGCCTACTAAACAATGCCTAAACCAAACCAAGTCATCAGACCTCTGGACGCTGTAAACCTCTCTATGCTACTTCAGAGATTCATAATGAGCAGTTCTCTAAGTTGGGGTCCCTTTTGATGTTCCCAGAATAGTATGGCACCCTTAAGAGCAGGACCCTAAAAGGGACGGTAATCTAGAGGACTACCCTAATGACTTGATGACTTCGCCTCGGCCAACAAGGTGTCGGCTCGTGAAACCTGCCTTGCTTCGTTCGCGACCCTGGGACCTGATTATTGGGTCCTTAAGGGGTCTAGAGCCCTAACTATAAGGTCCTTGGAGGCACAGGGGAAGAAATGAAAGGTCGCGCGGTTTTTTTGTTATTTGGGGACTAACTGGGACTATTGCTTAGGGTTTTGGTGTGTTTGCAGTAGGATGGTTTCAGGTTTCAAGGACTGGGGATCTTTAGGGTATCTGGGGTTTCCAACAATGCGGGGGGATCCTTTGCTCGGAGGGCCTGGCATTCAGGCTCTTATAAGTACCCATAGGCTCCTTAGTAGTTCCTTTTTGGAGTTACCTTATAGGATTCTAAATATGAACCATAAAAAAGGAACTACTTAGGAGCCTATGGGTATAGGGTGCTACACCAGGGTCCCAAATTGCCTTAATCAGGGGTGAGGATATTCAGGTTGTTGTTTCCAAAGACGTTGTCAACTCACGTCCCAAGAAGAAGCAAAACGGGTTCGCATGTCGAACAAGCCTTCAGCTTGGCTTCTTCGGCTTCTTCCGCAGCCTTCTGCTGTTCTGCCAAAGCCTTGCAGACCGGACAATTGCAAAATGTGCATTAAACCGTTGCCACATGGAAGCACACTAAACACCAAATGCCAAGTTAGCAAGATTCTTGAGTCCGACAAAAAAGGAAACATACCTTTCAGCTTAGGCCAAAACAAACAACAGCGCGGTTTCATCTGACCGGAATGAGTGCGCAATAGGGATCACGCGCACGTTTAGCAGATGCCTGCAACAGATTTGAGGTGATGGCCTTCAACTTTGCTTCCTCCGCTTCCTCAGCAGCTTTTTGTTGCTCCGCCAGGGCCTCCAACGGCCATTAGGGAGAAAACAAAGACAATGAGCTCAAACCATCTAGAATCTAGACTCCTCGCAAGATTACCTAGGGAAGCTTGCAGCAGTGGCGTCCGCCTTCTGCTTGGCCTCTTCAGCCTCTTGGAGAAACCTCTCTTGCTCTTCGCGTGCCTGGAGCCATCACATGGAGGATTCGAACTGCTGCGATGGAGGATGCGAACTGCTGCGATGCAGCTATGGTTTCCTATACGTGGCCTTTACCATTGACTCATGGCTTTCGCAATGAACGACCTCTTGGCGAATGAGGCCAGTCTAGCTGTTACCAACGCACTCGGTAACTCATAAAATCAGAAAGCCGGCGAAACAGCATCTTCCTGAGAGACTGCGACATCAAACAACACCTCCCCGACTCAAAACAACAGTTATTTAAACCCCTAAAAACCCTAAACTAAACCCCAAACCCTAAACCGTGGCTCTGAAACATGCCTTCAGCTTGGCTTCTTCGGCCCTGAACCCTGAACCCTAAACCATGGGACTCGCCTTCAGCTTGGCTTCTTCGGCTTCTTCAGCCGCCTTCTGTTGTTCGGCCAAGGCCTCGCAGAGCAGCTAGGGGCAAGCCAACAGCTGCCTTTTGGAAGGATTGTTTAGGGTTTAGGGCTTAGGGGTTAGGGTTTAGGGAGTTTAGGGTTTAAGGTTTAGGTTGTAGGGGGTTTAGGGTTGCCAATCACCCAAGTTCTCAAGGCTCTTATCTGGCCGCAAAGACAGCGACTTGACCAATTTGGGCAGACTTTGCAGAATCTGATTTGCATCCGATGCATAGAACTGGACTCAGGCCTGATGCAAACTGTTGAAAGGCTGCCCCAGACTGTTCAATCTGGCCTTCAACTTTGCCTCCTCCGCTTCTTCCGTGGCCTTTTGTCGTTCCGCCAGGGCCTCCAGCAAACACCACTACGGGGCCTTAATGATTAGAATCGGATTTATGCTATACTTGCAATATGGAGCCTTAAGGAACCATAGGGGTCACTGGTTCGACACCTATATATACCTATATGAATCGAAGCCCCTACTGCCAAGCTCAGAAGCGGCCTTCAACTTTGCCTCTTCTGCTTCTTCAGCGGCCTTTTGTTGCTCTGCCAAGGCCTCCAACGGACAAACCCTGAACCCTCAACCCTCAAAAAATGGCAACATTAAAGGAAACCAGTCAATCCAATGTCCACGGGATCTTGCTGGCGGAAGCTTCCCTAAACCCTAAACCCTCTTGCAACAATTAGGTGGGCCGCCTTCTGCTTGGCCTCTTCGGCCTCTCGGAGGAACCTTTCTTGCTCTTCGCGCGCCTTCAGCCACTGCATGGGGAGCTGCTGCGGTGCCGTGAGTGTGTGCTATGAGGGCTTAGAACGGCCTTTGTTAGCAACTAAATGCTGGTTGATAACTTGCCTTTTGCAACATGACCCCTCGGCTAAGCAGGCTTGGGCTGCGACCTATGCACTCGGTGATACACCCGACCCCACCGAATCTTGAGCGAAGACAAACCTGTAAATCAAACTCCCAGAATCTGAAGCACAAGTGTTGAGACCGTTCGACTCGCCTTCAGCTTGGCTTCTTCGGTCTCTTCTGCTGCCTTCTGCTGTTCGGCCAAAGCCTCGCTGAGCGAACAATTGTTAAAAGGTTGGTCACATGCGGCCTACTCAGACCCAACTACGCCCGCTGAACCGCCCAGTTGTCAAGAATCCTGTCGCTGAAACCATACTCTCCACCACACTGGCGAAGTCTCTTCACAGTTTCGTCTGAGCTTCAAAAAGCCTCTGCTGCTTAAGTGCAGAAGCCGCCTTCAACTTAGCCTCCTCCGCTTCTTCAGCGACTTTTTGTTGCTCCGCCAGAGCCTCCAACGTCCATCAAACAAAAACTAGTACAATCAATCTGGCAGCACTTCAGCTTTGCTTGCAACACGCATGCACTTGGATAGCATCCGCCTTCTGCTTGGCCTCTTCGGCCTCTTGGAGGAACCTTTCTTGCTCTGCGCGCGCCTTGAGCCGGCGCAGGGACACGGCATTTGTTACGATACAATGGTGCGTGTCCTAAAACGGCCTGTAACACAAGACGTTGGTATAGGTATTCTGGTGGAAAACATGAGCTCTGGGCTATAATGACATGAAGCACAGGTTGCATTTGTTCGAAACACTCCCGGTGACATACCGAGATTCAACAACAGGTGCTAACATCGGGAGACACGCCTTCAGCTTGGCCTCTTCGGCCTCTTCGGCTGCCTTCTGCTGTTCTGCCAAAGCCTTGCAGAGTGACAGCTGCAAAAGATGCATCCCTGTGGCTTACCGAGAGCCAACTGGTGCCAGCCATCACATGAAAGCCGTGTTGCAAAGTGCGTGTGGCTTTTACTTTGCGATCTTTCAGCAGCAAATAACTCAGTTTGTCGACGTTCCGGCGTTTGGAGTGTGATCTCTAGGCTGTTGGAACACTTGCACTACCTAAGCACTTGACAATGCACTCAACGAAACAATAGTTAAATGGAGTCTATACGTAGTCTAAGTCTAAAGCAACGTCCTCGAGTCTAAACAACAGGTGTTACACCGTGAGACGCGCCTTCAGTCTGGCTTCTTCGGCTTCTTCTGCCGCCTTCTGCTGCTCTGCCAAAGCCTCGCAGAGGGGACAACAGATAACATGCATGACTGCAGCCAACAAAGCCAATCGGTGCTAGAAGAAAGTCTGTCAAACAGCCAAGCTGTGAAGACTAATTATTATAAAAGTGAAACCAGTGTGGACGTGACATCGGGACGGCATGGAGCGCACAGAACTGCAAAGTAAGTTAGCATGTGTAGCAACTGCCCAGAAATGGCCTTCAACTTCGCCTCCTCTGCTTCTTTCGTGGCTTGTTGTTGCTCCGCCAAAGCCTCCAACAGACATCAGGCAAGGAGACTGAGAATCTGCAGGCAGCAGGTCGGAATCCGCCTTCTGCTTGGCCTCTTCGGCCTCTCGGAGGAACTTTTCTTGCTCTTCACGCGCCTTGAGGCACTGCATGGAGAATGGGATCTGCTGCGTATGGCCGTTAAAATTTTGCAGCAGCCTTAGCAACTATTATTAGGTTGGTCGATAACTTGCCTTTTGCAACGTGGCCTCTCCGCCAGTCAGTCATGGCCTGTTACCTATGCACTCGGTGATACACCCGACTCCAGCGAATCTTGAGCGAAGACAAGCATGTAAATCAAACTCCCGGAATCTAAAGGACAAGTGTTGAGACCGTTCGACTCGCCTTCAGCTTGGCTTCTTCGGCCTCTTCTGCTGCCTTCTGCTGTTCGGCCAAAGCCTCGCTGAGCGAACAATTGTTAAAAGGTTGGTCACATGCGGCCTACCCAGCTGTGAGCGTCTGGAAGTCTGCAGAACAACCCAGTTGTCAAGAACCTTGCCGCTGAAACCACACTCCCCACAATGTCATAAAATACCACACGGGCGACGTCTGTGCAACGTTTCGTTTCAACGTCAAACGGTCAGAAGCGGCCTTCAACTTTGCCTCCTCCGCTTCTTCAGCGGCCTTTTGTTGCTCCGCCAGAGCCTCCAACGAACATCAAAGACAAACTAGTCTTGGTGCAATCAATCTGCATCCCAGCAACTTAACACGCTTGCAACCGGCTACCATCGGCCTTCTGCTTGGCCTCTTCGGCCTCTTGGAGGAACCTCTCTTGCTCGGCGCGCGCCTTGAGCCGGCGCAGGGCACACGGCATTTGTTTACGATACAATGGTGCGCGTCTTAAATTGGCCTGTAACAGAAGCTTGTGCCTTGGTATAGATGTTCTGGTTGGAAACATGAGCTCTGGGCTCTAAGTAATGACATGAAGCATGGGTTGCATTTGTTCGCAACACTCCCGGAGACATGGCCGACGATACAAGACCTTCATGGCAGTCTACAACAACCTAAAACACTGGAATCATGGAAAGGCAATCGAGATTCAACAACAGGTGTTGACATCGGGAGACACGCCTTCAGCTTGGCCTCTTCCGCTTCTTCTGCTGCCTTCTGCTGCTCTGCCAAAGCCTTGCAGAGTGACAGCTGCAAGTTGCATCCCTGCATGTGGCCTACCGAGAGCCAACTGGCGCCAGCCATCGCACGAAAGCCGTGCCGCAAAGTGCATGTCTTATGCATGGCTTTTACTTTTCGATCCTTCAGCAGCAAACAGCTCAGTTGGTGGAATTTTGTTGCTGCTGCCTACACTCCTGACGATGCACTCAACGAGGCAACAGTTAGATGGAGTCCATGCATAGTCTAAGTCTAAAGCAACATCCTCGAGTCTAAACAACAGGTGTTGCACCGTGACATGCGCCTTCAGTCTGGCTTCTTCGGCTTCTTCTGCCGCCTGCTGCTGCTGGGCCAAAGCCTCGCGCAGTGGACAAGTGCTACCAAAGCCAACCGGTGCTAGAAGGGAGTGCGTGAAACTGTCTAGCTGCGAAGACTATTTCAGTGGAAAGCCATCAAAATCACTACACCTGCATCAGACTGATACATAGTATTATACTTAGTATGCTGAATATAGACTATTAGAATCACTCATCACTCGCATCTGCGTGGAATGTTGTGGATCTAGGGACCATGGGTTGCGCTGAACTTCAGACATGTGCACGAACTGTCCAGCCTTCCACTTCGCCTCTTCTGCTTCTTCTGCGGCTTTTTGTTGCTCCGCCAAAGCCTCCAACGGACAAACCCTTAACCCTGAACCCTAAACCCTGCAGGCAAGGACACTGAACATCTGCGCGCGCAGAAGGTCGGGATCCGCCTTCTGCTTGGCCTCTTCGGCCTCTCGGAGGAACTTTTCCTGTTCTTCACGTGCCTTGGGCCAGCTAGGCAGGCTTGTTATCTATGCACTCGGTGATACGCCCGACTCCAACAAATCTTGAGCGAACACGACAAAAATAAGTCAACTTCCCGGAATCTAAAGCACAAGTGTTGAGACAGTTTGACTCGCCTTCAGCTTTGCTTCTTCGGCTTCTTCTGCCGCCTTTTGCTGTTCGGCCAACGCCTTGCAGAGTGAACAAGTGCTAAAAATTTGATTACATGCGGACAGCTAAGGCTGTCTGGAAGTCTGCAGAATCGCCAAGTTGTCAAGAATCTTGTCGGTCAAACCAAACTCCAAACAACTTTCTAGCAGCCCAGCAACTTGACTTGCAACACGCGGCGACAGGCTACCATCGGCCTTCTGCTTGGCCTCTTCGGCCTCTTGGAGGAACCTTTCTTGCTCGGCGCGCGCCTTGAGCCGGCGCAGGGCACACGGCATTTGTTTACGATACAACGGTGCATGTCTTAAAACGGCCTGTAACAGAAGCAGGTGCGTTGGTATAGATATTCTGGTTGAAAACATCAGCCCATGGGCTATAATGACATGAAGCACGGGGTGCATGTGTTCGCAACACTCCCGGTGACATCCCGAGGTTCAACAACAGGTGTTGATATCGGGAGACACGCCTTCAGCTTGGCTTCTTCCGCTTCTTCGGCTGCCTTCTGCTGTTCGGCCAAAGCCTTGCAGAGAGACAGCTGCAAAAGGTGCATCCCTGTGGCCTACCGTATGCCAACCGGTGCCAGCCATCGCATGAAAGCCGTGCTGCAAAGTGCGTGTCTTATGCATGGCTTTTACTTTGCCATCTTTCAGCAACAAACAGCTCGGTTGGTCGACGTTCTTGCGTTTGGAGTGTCATCTCTTGTCTGCTGGAACACTTGCGCTACCTGCACACCTAACGATGCACCTCACCGAAACAAAACAGCTGCATGGCCTGGACTCTACACAAAGTCTAAGAAGTCGACCACAACATCCTCGAGATTCCTCGAGTCTACCCGACAGGTGTTACACCGTGAGACGCGCCTTCAGTCTGGCTTCTTCCGCTTCTTCTGCAGCCTTCTGCTGCTCCGCCAAAGCCTTGCAAAACCCACGACAGATAACATGTATATACCGCCCAGCTGCGAAGACTATTGAAGCAGAAACCAGTGTAGACGTGACATCGGGACGGCATGGAGCGCACAGAACTGCAAAGTAAGTTAGCATGTGTAGCAACTGCCCAGAAATGGCCTTCAACTTCGCCTCCTCTGCTTCTTTCGTGGCTTGTTGTTGCTCCGCCAAAGCCTCCGACAGACATCAGGCAAGGAGACTGAGAATCTGCAGGCAGCAGGTCGGAATCCGCCTTCTGCTTGGCCTCTTCGGCCTCTCGGAGGAACCTTTCTTGCTCTTCACGCGCCTTGAGGCAATGCGTGGAGGATGGGATCTGCTGCGATGCCTCTGCCCTATGTATGTCCATTAGAATTTAAAGCAGCCTGAGCAACTATTAGGTTGGTCGATAACTTGCCTTTTGCAACGTGGCCTCTCCGCCAGTCAGTCATGGCCTGTTACCTATGCACTCGGTGATACACCCGACTCCAGCGAATCTTGAGCGAAGACAAGCATGTAAATCAAACTCCCGGAATCTAAAGGACAAGTGCTGAGACCGTTCGACTCGCCTTCAGCTTGGCTTCTTCGGCCACTTCTGCTGCCTTCTGCTGTTCGGCCAAAGCCTCGCTAAGCGAACAATTGTTAAAAGGTTGGTCACATGCGGCCTACCCAACTATGAGCGTCTGGAAGTCTGCAGAACAACCCAGTTGTCAAGAATCTTACCGCTGAAACCACACTCCCCACAATTTCATGAAATACCACACGGG